AGAAAAGTGTTAAATATCTTTACTACAGTCTATAAAGAATAAACGAAAAAGACCCTCGCCCTGACCTCTTCCTTTTCCATCAACTAATGAGTCTTGATTCCTGTGATTAAATAAGAGTTCAAATGATTCACCAACGATGCCGCTACCAGAAATGCATTCACAATGTGCTTTTGCAACGCAAACAAAGAGCAAGTGTGTGGTAGTTTCTTAACCGCGTTCTGTAAAAGCAAGGAGAGAAAAGCTTTCACAATTCGTACCAAGTTGGTCAAGCAAATCGTTCGAGTAAAATGAGTTGTGTGCCAATGCCAACGATGCTGCTTCGATTGATCCCTTCAAAATGAGTGTTTCTCAACAATGAATACGTTCTAAAGAAACATTAAGAAAGCAACCATCGTGTTTGTTGTTATTACCGCGTTACATAGAATAAAACAAAGAAATAGCACTTTTCATTCCTTTTCACCCCTCCATTTAAAACCGTTACCTTTTGAATTAGGTCAAGTTGTTGGCATTTTCATGTGGATCTGCAATTGGGAACGGTTTCTTTGTTGCTTTAGAGAATGCTCTCAGATGAGCTGAAACAAAAACGTTTTTATAAAGGAATATAAGGCACTTGGTAAAATTCTCTTCCCCTCAAATGCCCCTCTGCTGCCCAGTACAGTGTCTCTGGCGGCTGACCTTAAAATTCAAAAAAATTGAGGGGGGGGGAACTACCAACTCTTATTTTTGTGCCGGAATAAGGGAGTTGCACTCTGGTAGACCTCTAGGCATGTATCCTAGATAAAAACACTCCATCACTGAGACCAAATGACTGGATCATCTCAAGATACCACGAGTTCCGTTATGGATGTAGTTACAAATATGCCTGCACAAGCCAAAAATATTTTGTCAAACACAAATTCTAAGAGGTCAACCCGATGTGTGTTTGGCTGGTGACGACATGGCGAAATTTGGGGTTGCCTACCTCGATGGTGAAACTCGCACACAAGGTGCTTTGGACCAAGCCGAGCAGTTTTGCTCTCATAAGGATTCCACGATTGATTGTAGAAATTTGAGAAACGATTGTATTTCTGTTTTCATTATGCTCGCTGTAAGCTTGATGCTACATGAAAAGAGGTCTTCACTCATTGTGAATAGCTAGAATTGGTGTAACAAGCCGAGCGGTGTTGTGAAGTGTCGGCTGGCTGTTAGTACTTCTCAAATACTC